TTTTTAAGCTGCCCTTACATCAAACTGCTTGAGTTCCAAGAATCGAGTAGCTCATTCTGTATTAATCAAAAAAGCCAGAATGAACATGAGAAAAGGATTCCAAACATTCACTGTACATCCTTGAAAACATGTTTTGAGGCTATGGTAAAGCCACTGTCTTTGACCATACCCTAATTGGACAACGTGTGGCTCTTGTCTAGCACGTAACGGTGTGTGCATTTCTTAAAGTTTCTTGAAGTAAGGAAGTCATTCCACGTTTTATTGTTTTTTAATAAATAAGGGGTTCCTTTTCAGCACTACTATTCGCTGCTTATAGGATGCTACAGGTGACTAAAAGGATTCTCCTCTTGAAATTACTTATTTCACTTTTTACTCGACTTATTTTCTCCAGCTGTAAACAAAGGGCAGAAAGATACTCTTCTTAATAATTCAAGGACAGAGGATATGTTGAAGAATATCCCCCTCAGTGGTGTTGACTGGAAGGAACACCACTGACTTCCAAAAGGAGACACAGGGACGGCAACGACCGTGGCCTCACCTCAGGTACAGTATTCGTGACTGCACAATGAATCGGAACAGGTACTTCAGGGCTTTCAAAGCAGCAAACAGCAATTCTGTCTTGCTGGAGTCATCAGCATTTCCCACGTAACAGTTCAGTACTTTGGTGAGTTTCCTTTGGAAATAAAACAGAAAGGAGGATAAATATAGATGCAGTTAAGTTTCTGTATAAGTCCAGCTTCCTTATTCCAGGGAGGAACTACAGTCTAATAAAGAGATAACAGAGGGGTTCCTCTTCAGAGCCCATTTCCTTCTGAAATCTTTGGCTTCACGCAATGCCAGATTTTCATAACCAGTTCATGACTACAGATTTGTCTACGAATTCCAGCTTCTTGATCTGCTTTTTCCCTAAAATGAAGTGTTCAGGAAGCTGGAAAACCTATTACTACAGAAAGTGGACTGACACCTTCTCCACGTGTTAGCATTCCCATGTGTGGAGCACAAAGTTCTTCTGAAGCAATACTGACCAAGAGCTTTGAAAGAACTGTGGGCAGAGGTTGCATAAACACATTACAAGGATTTGCTATCTAGTCTCTGCCAAACCAGAAGATCAAGACCTGTGAGTGCTATGGTAGCTAACAGTCAGGCAAAATCCTCTTCTCTTCATTGAACAACTCCCAGCACCCAAAGCGGTGCGTGAGTGCTAGCCAAGCAGACAACAGCTTTTGCACTTGCTTGCTCTACTTGCCACACTGCCAGCATCCTGAGCTCCCTGAGTTGTCAGGTTCTGGCCCGTGGAGCACACGAAGGACACTACATAACACTACAGTCCACTTGGCATTCTAGAGGCACCACGCTGTCAAGCTAAGCTGGGAAGAAAGGCAAGGGAACAACAAAGCTAAGATACAGTGTGCTCATTAACCAAAGACATTTATTTATAGCAAAGGGCAATTAAGAATGAGGCATCTTCCACAGGTTATAGGGAAGAAAGAAAGGAAATCATATGCAAGCAGTGATTGTGTGGCCAGGGCAGAGAAGAAAGCAATCCAGGAGATGGCGACTTCAGAGATTTGTGGAATCCTGTTTCCTCACCGAATTATCTTTAGGTTGACAGCCACCAAGAGAGGCTGAATACTCAGGACTAGAAATTTGCGTGTATCAGCAAAAACAAGAAGAGATTTTTAGAAGTGAAAAGGAGTTTGGTTTCTGGTTTTCCTCTCCCTATTGGCCCTGGTTTTAACTTTTTAGTTGCCTGTTACCACAAGGGTAATGACCTTTGGGTTGAGTGGTACCAGATCAAGGAGCTGGAAAGTCAAGAGATCTGGGGGTCATTCCTGGCTTCTCTGCCAACTTCCTGGGTGTCCTTGGGCACGCAAGCCATGACTACCTACACCACTTAAACAAATGCTTCACTTTTAAGTACATGAAGTCAACAGGTCGACTGCTCATCAGCTTTTTCCTTCCCTGATAAAACAGGACTAACAACTGTGAGCTGAATATTTTTAAACTGCTTTCAGATCCACAGATAAAAGCATTACAGGGAAACAGAATTACTCCCATTGTCCATATTCATGTAGCCAAATGTGAAGGACTGCAAATTTCTTCTAAACAAATGCCAGTCTATGGGACAGAGTTTCAATACATAAGTGCAATCTCATGTTATCTTCATGTTTAAACCTCGCCATGACATTTAGCCCTTTTCTGAAGTCGGTGGCCTCCTCAATCTGCCTGGTTGTAGGCAGACAGTGGAGGTGAACATCATTTTTATCTCTCCTACCATCAACCACAATGTGGCTCATGTTATTTCAGCCACATATGGTTCCGTTTCTCCCTGTGACCCCATTCAAACACATCCCTAAAATTGCAGCCCAGAGAATATCGACTATTTCAAACTTTCTTCTGCTCAAAGTACTTTTGGAGTGGGATGGATTGAAAAAGTTGAGGCAGATACTGGCAAGACAAAACAGTTCCATGAGCAGCAATACCTGTCAGACCAGATTTCTGAATTTATTCAATTGTTGTTGTTCAATTTGTTGAATTTGTGTTCCTTCAACAATTTCCACAGCCCCTGCATACAGACTCATGATATTTTCCATTGCCTTCTGCATATACCCACAACTGCCAACATTACCCTATCCCCCAGTCTTGAGTGGCAATTCTAGACCAAGGCACTCAAAAGTTACAAGAAAGAAAGTATACTGACTGCATGAAAACTGTCTTCAATAGAAAAATCAGGCTGAAAAACATTAAGATGCTTTCACAACACATATAGATGACTACAGGTCAAAAGAGAGTTTGAATCACACAGTCTGATACAGGATTTTCCACGATAGCAGTGTCTTTTCCTTACAGAAAACATTCTTACAATAGAAACTTTTGCAGGGTAAAAAGAGTTATTACAGGGTTTTTTCCTCTGCTGAAAGCAGAGAAGAATAGGGCAGAACACTCTTGTCTGGTATATGCTGCCTTTATCACATCAGTGTAGTTTACCAAAACTATCAGCAAGACACTGCCCCAACGACAGCCTGGGGGTTTGTGGTTATGAGCACTTACACATATGCCAGGGTTGCACTGAAGTGCTTGTAAATATAAGTTTCAAGTACAGGGTTGAAATGCTGGAACTTGATGTCTCCGATCAAAGAAATAATAAATACCTGCCAAAAATGAAAAAAGAAACAGATGTACAGAGCCACGCAACCTCTAACTCAAACATAACTCAGTCTCTAATTGCATGTTATTTATTTTGCTGGGTCATAGTTTTTGTTTGTTTTTCTAACAGCAGTAATGCTACAGAGAGTGGCATTCATATTCTAACAGTGACTGAATACTGTGGTGTGTGCAACTCCATCACTGCTCGCAGGGAAGGTAGGTCATAGCAGCATTTGGACAGGAAATCTGAGAGATAAAAGGAGCTACTCCACAAAGCAACAATATACAGGCAACAGCACTCCTCGCAGTCTTTGTGACACTGTCACAGAACACGTTAGATAGGCACAGAGCTGCTGAAGTTTGTTTTCCAAAGCTAAGAAATGATGCTTTTCAAGTGAGAACTTGAGATTCTGATGATTTATACTCAGAGCAAACACTCAGTCCTGTTACTACAATGGCATGTATTAGAGCTGGGACATTCTGCCCCCCTACATTGCCCTCTCCGACCAACGTCAGCTGAGTACATCCCACTTTCTACTTCTTCCTGAATTGTCAAGTATGTATTTGTTGATCAGCATGAAGCACACAGCTTTGTTACTGCACTACACAGCAAAGCCAGTGCCTTTCCTACATGCAGAAAACTCCTTGTGAAGTCTATTCCTCAGTCATGACAATCCTTCTACGAAGGCTCAGAGGAGCAGCCACCCCTCCTGCCCAAGGAGTCAGGGTGCACAGGTTCCATTCCCACCACAGCTGCAAATCCTCCACCATCATGACCCTGAACAAATCATTTCACTTTGTGCTTCATATAGATAATAAGGCTTTTCTCTTCTGTAAATTGCCTTAATGCAAGAAGTTATCTGAAGAAATGACTATAAATCATGTAAACGTTTATTACTGTTTTCACTGTGGCTACTAAAAAGCTCAATGCATATCTCAGTGCTGGCTCCCGAAAATGCCTTAAGAAATGTTTAAATATAATTTATTTCTCAGAGCAAAATATCAATCACTCTAAAGGAAGCACCAGGAACAGACTGAAAACGTGGCTGAAAAACAAACACTCTATATCCATAAAAGATGAATCACTCACCAGTGCATCAAACACAAGGAAGTCATAGGTTTCATTTTCTGACATTTCCATCATTATGTTGAAAAGTGCATCAAGGGTGTCTTGCAAAAACTAGAGGAGGGGAAAAGAAAAAACAACAGTAAACGGGTGGGAAAAGATGACTACTTCTCGAATCCTGCACAAGAGCCTACTCTTTTGGAACATTTTTTTCCTTCCAGCCTAGTGCAGTCGACCTGTAAAAGCTGTCCATGAAAAGGCATTTTAAAAAAGGATCTCAGTCCTGTATTCATTCACATGTTGTCATGATCATCATGCTATTCTCTCTCACTGCAGCAAGGAGGAACTTTTCTTATCAGCTCTGAATGGCCTCACTTTTCTGTTCTATTGCCTTTTTATCCAGCAGGAGATCTATCAAATACACTGAATTCTATCCATGCAGTTTAAGCCTGCACTGGGCCAAATCGATCACACACGCTGTACTAAGGCATGACATTTTATGTAAAAACTGCTTTGCAATGACACAGCATTTACTGTAATTGTTCAGCAGTTAAGTAAAACCATGCCCTTGCATAATCCCAAAAGATCCACGTTTGGAACCACAGAAGCCTTACCTCCTAAATCCTTTCAGCAGACTATTTTCTGTGGCACTTCCCCACACTACTCTGACCATAAGCCCTCGGGGCCACCTCTGCACTCTGCTCCTCGATCCACAGCAAGTCCCTACTCACAAGGGAGGCCCAGAGCCACTACTGAAAATCAAAAGTCAGGCTTTGAGTGTATTTTCTATTTTGTAAGGATACAGGGCAAAATAAAGTCACCACTATCTCCCTGATCCTGGTAACATTTAACTTCTGTAGTTCTGGTGAATTCCATTAACGAGAGCTCTTGAGGCAAAGTGTACCTTTTGTTCTACTGTTGCTTAGCAGTCAGAATGGCTCTCCTAGCCTATATAGAGTGGTTTTGGGTAGAATACAATTACAACCCTTCAAGGTCAACACCAAGCACATACTTAAGTGTTTGCATAACAAGGAGACTTCAATCTCCAGGCATACCTTTACAATTTCTCCTCCTTCCACATCCATTAGCTTCCTTAGGTTGTGAGCTATGTTCTGAGAGTTAGAACGCCAGTTCAACAAACCCAGCAGGTCAACTAGCAAGGACAGAACATCAGCAATTAGAAACAGATTACGACGACACAGCTGACTTAATGGCTGCAGAACAATACTGAACAAGCACTAGAGTTATTTTTGGAATCAGCTTACAAGGAAAAGTCACACTGACTATAGAATATTACCTTGAGATGGTTCTTCTGCCTTGGCAAGAAGTTTTGCTATGAATGGAAATTGGTGTAATTTGATAACACAAGGAATCTGTTAGATAATTTTGCAGGCTTCTCATTCACTCAAGAGGAGGCATTTCAAGCTAGGAATTTTATTAGGGTGCATGATTTTTCTTACTAATGCTTGCGTTTACTTTAGAGTAGCCTCTTGGAGATGGTTCTTGAAGTTAAAATTGAAACCTCTTGTATAAATGACATTAAGCTGCAGAGCTGTTTATCACAGTTCTGGGACATTCCAGTTAAAAACCACACTTGAGGCTTTCAAAGGAGTCTGACAGGTTTCACATGCATCTTCCATGTTAATGAGGTATATACATATCATCTCTGCTTTGAAACTAAATTAATTTACTACCTTCAGATGCAAGAATACATGTGAAACTTAACAGCCTTGACAAAGAATGCCACATTCAGAAACAGAGGTTACATGCAGGTGGGCAGAAAGATGCAAGTGTGCTTGGCCTCGTCAGAGAGGATAATGAAAGTCGGGTTCAGTCTAATGCAAGACCTACCATTCTGGGTAAGTTTGGTGGAGCAGATCAAAGTGGCAATCTGGAAGCTGTCTTTTGTACTGTCTTTAGTGGGTGTGAAGTTGGCTAGATGGTGCAGATTTTTCCCCGAGGAGGCCTCCTTCTCCTCTACCTCCGTTTTGGTACAAGGAAGAGTTAAATAGCATTTAGCATCTTCCATTTTCTTGTTATCACCCTGTTGGTCGAACACAGCAGAGTCAAGGGTTATCTCACACTGAGCAGACCTCATCTGACCTCTTGCAGTTCTCATCTGCAGACACACTTTGACACAGTGACCGCCACAGAGGGCTTTAAACACCTTTTCTCCTCTATAGTTGTTTACTTGCATTGTCTGTTTGGGCCTCTAACTTTAGGGACCAGAAGTAACCCATACTACAAACAAGCTAAGCTCTTTTCAGAGTGATGCAAGCCACAGAGTTTAGGAGTGTTTCTCCTCCTCCACTCTCACTTTGTAGCTTTCTATAGCAATGCATTAACTTTTTCCTCTTACTGCCATTGAAGGCACCAGGGTCTCTCTTCCCATCACTGATCCTCCAAAGCAGGTGTTCACCAGGTCTGTTTGTTGCATACAGTGTAGGCAAATCATGTTGGAGGACAAATATTCTATATAGATAGATACAAGGACATACCACATTTGTGTACTTGCAGCCAGAAAACCCATCAGTGAAAGGAGAGATGAGGGTGACTTATAAAACAAACAAAAAATAATATTGTCCTATTATCCTATTATTAAAAATCTATGCAATGCTGGTGTCTACCTTACTAGTGAAAAAAAAGAAATCAGCCAAGAGAGTTGTTTTGATCGGTTAAACAAAAATGAAGACTGCAAATGCCCAAGCTACCTTATAAACAATCAAATTGTGTTTGCCATCTTGCAGCGTTGTTCCATCTGCATTCATCAACTTCACAAAGCCCATGCCAAAAGCTCTCTCAGACTTATCTCTAGCTGCAAACAGAAAGATCTTTATTAGGAGTTGTCTTATTTATGCCCATACTATCCATAATGCAGCTCTCTAAGTATGTGCAGCTGCTGCTTTATTTAATAGCATCCCATAATAACATGATGGAGCTAGCAAACTTGTAAGCCACAGTCTTTCCCTCTCATCTCAAGGCACTTAGCAGGTATTTGCTACTACACAAAAAAAAGTCATCTCTGAAGCATCTGTTGCCACACAATGCCAGTGGTCAGTTGTGCTGCTGGATGCACAGCACTCCTGCAGACCCTCTGTGCTGATACTTACATTCTTGTGATGACCGATGACGGAAAGTGAATCTTAAATGGCAACGACTGACTTCTTCGATTGCAATGGACACCTGCACACGATAACACAATGAAAAATGCAGCACCAGCATCTCTACCTCCAGTCAATTTACAGGACATCCTGTTCCTGATGCATCTACTGATTTTAAATTAGTTGTGTTTTCTACACAAAGGAAGTAAGACTGTAAATTACACACTCTTACCTTTACAGTTTCATACCAGTAAGGTTGCTTGACTTGATAATAAACAACAGACTTATATTCAGAGACACCTTCATAACCAGCACCAGGATGGATAGCTTTCTTTGGACAAAAAGACAAGGGGAGGAGGAAAAAGGGAAAGGTAAGTTCTAGAATGAAGGCAAAAAGTCTTAGATCAGAAATCTTCAAAGCGTATAACTGCCAAGAGTTACTCAAAGTCTAATCTTCACAGTCAAGGGAATTCAATGTGTGTGAACTCTTCGAAAGTTTTACAGAATCTGTAAACATTTTCTCACATTTGAGGAAATAAAATCAGCAAGTACTCAAATTTGGTCACTGAGATCACCTATGGCACCTCTTGTTCATTATCACACAGTTCTTGCATCCAGTTGATAAGCAAGACCCTGTGCACCAGAGCTTTTATCTAGCAAACACAGCAGCCTTGTGAGCTCCTGCAAAGGCCATCATACCTCTTGGAGATTTCCATCTTCATCATGTACAGACATGGTGACTTCTACATTCTTAGGAGTCTTCTTCTTCCCTTTGTCAAACTCCCCTTGTATCAGGGTGACATAGATATCATTTCGAACATCACCTAAAATTCGTAGAGCTTAATGAGTCGTTTTTCCTCATACAGTTTTACACATTAATATTTAACATCCTTGGTTTCCACTGTTATCCTTATCTTAGCCTTTACTGATGCCAGTTAATGAACGACACAACATCACTATTTCATCTTCATCTCAAATTATACAAAATCTTTTAAAATGAGCCATTCTCCTTTTCATAAGCCTTTGTCTTTATGTAACTTTTTTAAAGTAATAAGCTCTATAGGGCTAAATCCACTTTGAATGGATTAAACAGAGTAGGGTCGAACCTCTACACAACAAAAATATCTCTTTGGCTAAACAGAAATCTCTTTCAAAAAGTACACACACTATCATTTTTCAACATAAGAAAGGAAGCTTATGTTTTCACTTCTTTGACAAAAAATATAAGATTGGCTGGAAATCTCCAGAAAAATCAAAGCAAATTTTCAGATAGTTTTAAAATAAATCTGTTCATAGCAGAAATTCTAGAATTTCAAGTGGCTCTTTCACTCCATGGAAGCACAGAGGCACATGGGACCTACCAGGTAGGATTATCTCAGGGAATCCCATTTTGCGAGCCACAGCAGTTGATCTGTCTACAAGGTGGGAAAAGTCCTTTTGAACCTGTGCTAGATCACCAGGAAGCAGTTTCAGGGAGACCCAAAGACCTAAGAAAAGAAAGGTAACAGTTGTTTACTGAAAAAAAAAAGTACAAAACCGTGAAATTTAAGCCTATGCTTAACAGAAAACTGTTTCTTCATGTGATCTCCCCACAACGATGCCTTAAATATTCCAAGCTGGTTCTCACTTGCCCAGTTCTCTGTCTCCCTAATGCTGAATAAGACCTTACTGGGCAAGTACATTCTCTGCAGTAAAACACAAACTTTCTGAGATGAATTCACTACTGTATTTGAGTAAAGGACACAAGCAAGACTAGAAGAATCCTGAATAATGCAATTTAAACCCAAAGACATTTAGAATACACAATCAGCCATGTTCACTTAAAAATATTTTATGTCCACATAAACAGTTTTATCTTAAAAATGTTACATTACTAGCAAATAAGTCATCAGCTAGAGAAGCTCTTTTCATGTAAGCAAGAACAGCTCGTGTTTTTATCTTTTTTTTTAGCTCCCAACATGCTGGGGCGACAACCCTTCCAAAGACCATACGTTTGGCTCAGGGAAGGTGGCAAACTCCAGTAAGCCTTGATCTCTGGACTTCCAAAAGTCATTCATTTTCCTTTGCAAGCAAGGAGAACCCTTCCCTGCAGCAGGTTTTCACATCAGCTTCTTGCCCAACTGCTGTACCTTGCCCTTTATGATTCACTTCCTTCGCAGCGATGACTTTGTTGAAGACAGAAGTGAGGGGCTCATTCTCTCCGATCACATGGGAAGTTATCAGTGGGGACATGATTAGCTGTCGCTGTCTGATGTATGTTTCCATGGCAATCCTGAGAAGAACAACAACAGAGACCAGGAAGCAGACAGGCAAACATCAAACACGTGCTTTCCAAGAAGGCTGGCCAACAGCTGACTATTTTCCACAGATTTTTTATTTTTTTTTTTTAAAGGATTCCATGGGAATTTTTTTTTTCTTCTTCACCTGCACAAACCTGAAAAGGTAGTAGGGAAAAAAAACCAAACCAAACCCACACACGATCTCCTTCTTCACCTGCACAAACCTGAAAAGGTAGTGGGGAAAAAAAACCAAACCAAACCCACACACAATCTTCCATGAAAACACCTTGTAATTACATATGGCCACACTAAAAGGATTGCTGTATTTAGGACTGTAACAACGTGGCTGAGTCTACCCAAACAGCTTCATTTTAGTTCCTGTAATGTGCCAAAAATGTGAGCAATCAGAGAGCCTGCAGAACACACAATTCTCACTAGTAATACAGAAGTGTAAAACACATTGGGGCTTGAATTTCTTTCTCAGAAAGAGGAAGAAATCCCTTTCCTATTGTACTGGGAACTCTCTGTAAGAGGCAGACAATACAGAGGGTATTGACAAGGAGAAGTTGTGTTCTCTATGCTCAGGTGTTTCTGAAAATCTTACCTATCAACCTCCTAACAGTTCTGAAGGTCACATCCCCCAGAGCCCACAACACTATTTTGCACTGTGCTGCTCTTTCTTACCTCGAATGATACAGGCAGCTAGTAATTTCAGTTGCGTTGCCAAAACTCCCTAAGCAATTTAGCCTATCGTACAGACATGTAAATCACAGGGAACAAAGGCTTCAGAGGACTGACAAAAATCTTTTCCTTCAAAGAGCTGACTACTGCCATCAGCTAATCTATTTGTAGAGACCTTGGTACACTGCCAGGCTCCCATACAAATTTGTCCTTCTCCAAAGGACAACTGCTTTAAATAAGCCAGATATGGGATGGACTCCAAAGCCCAGTACTTACTGCTGAAATGGAATAAAATGTTGCTTTTCCTCATCGTCCACCTTTCCATGGATGATATCAGTTATGTCCATCACTGCAACAAGACAAGTTCATCATACAGTTTTACCAAGTTGCTAAAGAACACAGAGAGCTTTCCCCTATCAGAATGGAAACAGTTGCTTATTTTAGGCCAATGCCACTCGTGACAGCAACAGAGTGCACCACTCTCATCTTAACATTTTAAAAAGCACTCTGATAAAAACCAGGTGGGACTCATGCATTTCAAAGCTGAGAAGTTACACTTGGATTTCAAACGCCGATTATTTTGAAATTGTTTCCACCCTAAATTTCAAGCAAGTCTCTTCACAAGAATCAAACAGGAATTGGATGTCTCATTCACCAAGGCTCCTTTAAAAACTCCAGCTTGATCCCATTAGTCATAAGGAACAAATCCCTTTTTGATAAAGATCTGAAAAGTCTACTGCACTGATGGCAGTCTTATCTTTTTAGGGGGTGACAAAACAAGAAGTGAACAGCAACAGTATTTCATCTTCACATACAACTTCCATTAAAAGGTCTCAAAGGGGCACTATATGCAGCTCAGCATCAGCATCTCCGTTGTGAAGTCAGAGATGCTGACACTAAGAGGTTAGTAGGCTTTGCTGACATACAGCATGTACTTCCCAGTTCCCAGCCCACTGTCCCAGCTCAGTACTGGGCCATGCTATTTTCTCCCTTGATTGAATTTGTCATACCTGCCACACCGAAGGGCCTCCGGAGTCCACAGGTGTGTTTCTTCCCATCTTTCAGCTCCATATGCCCCACCCTCACAATCTGGCACACCAAGCTGATTTTTGGTCTGATTAAGTCAGAACTGCTTAAATCCTAGAAAGTATTTAAAATAAAGTTATATCAATCTGCTTTATGAAAGGAAGAGAAGACAACAGAGAGAGTAAGACTTTTCTGTTAGGTTGTACACACATATAAAAAGAAATTTATTTTTTAAAATGTGAAACCTGTTCCCTTTGAGCCCTAGAGAAAAAAACACAACAAACCAAAACTACAAAAACACTTCCATCCACACAGCAATTTCTAAACATCCCATTACTCTTTGATCGCACATCCCAGCAACAGTACTGGAAGGAGAGTAAATTATGTTAGTTGCCAAAGTACTAGATCTTGATGACCAGGCAGTTAGTTGTGCCACCTTTGCTACTTGTCAGAAGTTATTCCATTCATGTGCAGTTCTTCCATTAACATCTTGTTGCAAATAAACTCCAACACAGAAAAGGATCAGCAAAGCACTGAACTGAAAAACAAGCAACTATGATCTCAAGCCTAGTTTTTCGGTACAGTTAGGCTCCAACAGAGAAGTGCCTAATGGGATTTTCAGGAATGCATGGGTGAGTGACATCCACTCACAGTACTATTGCAAAATAACACACCTCTACTGCTGCTTTGGACTGACATACAAAAATCCAAAAGTACTTTCCAGCAGCATTCCTCTGAGGCTGCCTATAACATCTTAAGCGTCCACAAAAACTCTCCAAAACACCACACGTGACCCCTCCCTGCTGCATGGGGAGAGGGAAAGAACTCAAAACTCCGATGTCTGCAGCATTGGGAGAATTTCCAGGATGTAAATACAATAACTTACAGTAAAGACTGCTTGAAGGTTATTTAGTTTCTCAATTTCTTTAGGCATCCCATTACTGCCCCAACGAACCAAGTAATTTTCACTGCAAATAAAGGAAGAAAAAAAACTTTTACATAAATCAGACATTCCCATTACCTGGCAAAAACTCAAAAGCATTTTCATCTTTTAGGAATATTTGAAAAATTCTGCCAAAATCTATCCCAAAGTGATTCTGAAGTGACTCATTTCAGCAAAGGCAGAAGGCAGGCACAATGTGAATGAGTTACTTCCCTGTATGACTGACTGCATGTCCACACTTGGTAACTTCAACGACTGAGACAGGGGTGCCTGCCACATGCCTCCCTGATAAAATTCTCCATATCTTCTATCAGTACAAGATTCCCAGCTCTTAGGTGTGAGCTTGCACTGACTTGACAGCAAACATCATGCATATACATGATTTAATAGGAAGCAATTAAATGCATCAAGTCAGTGACAACAGTAAGTAAACTTAAGAACATATAGGAGACAATCTGGGATCTTGACTAACGTATCACAGAAATGTCTTAGAGCTGGGCAGGGAGTGCATGGGCTCAGATCCTTGACTTCCTGAAAAATAACCCCCTTCCGAATCACCACTGGAGCAGCAACCAACAGAACAGAAAAAAAATATCTGCTGGATCTTCCCTTCCAAACTCTATCAGCTTCTTTAGCATTATCACCACGATGACTAAATTGCTATGCACCTACTGGAAAAAAACCTACCTGATGAATTTGGAGAGATCAGGATCATAGAGGCTCATTAACAGCTCTGCATCTTCTCCAATATTGCAGACAAAATTCTTGAAGTTTACATACAGGCTGTATGTATGTGTTGTGTTGAATATGGGCTGCCCTCGGAGGTCCAAATTCTGTTGCAGGGACTGCAAAGAAGGGTACTCCCATTAAAACCACCCAGAAGAATTCAGTTCTGGTGCCAAAGTAGCACAATATCCTTAAGTGGAATGTACAAATACAGCAGGTACTAGGTTACTCGAAGAGGACAAAGCCAGCAACACGAAGCGTACCTTCTCTTCCTGGATTCTTTCATCAATCCTTTTTGATGCAGTTTCATGGGACTTGAAGAGAGAGATTGTGCTGGTTTCATCTGGGTCCAAGATGTTCCCATTGTCATCTCGTACAACCAGGTCCAAACCTAGGATCCTGAGCAGCACACAAGTCACAAAGATGAAAGAAGCAACACGATATTTAAAAAGCAAAGGTGACTAAAGAGCACAAACCACAGATCAAACTTTGGACTGCACTAGACATCAACTCCATTCCTAGTCATATACCTGGTTTTCCTGTCCTGAAATACTTATCCCTCACCCTGCATTCTCCCATGAAAGGGGAAAATAATTAGTCAGGTAACTTAATTCTAAGATGATGTCATCTTTGTTTTTGCTTAAAGTGTTGGGTTTTTTTGTTTTGTTTTTTTAAAAAAAGGTATGTATAGCTATCCAACTTACGGATTATAGCTAATGTCTAAGATGATGTCATCTTTGTTTTTGCTTAAGGTGTTGTTTTGTTCTGTTTTGTTTTTTTTAAAAAAGGTATGTATAGCTATCCAACTTACAGATTATAGCTAATTATTATTCCTTGCCATAAGCTTTCTTCTTAATTGACTTCACCTGAATCAAGTCTGACAGGCAGATAAATGAGTTCTGGAGACAATCCCTGTTCTGTACAACCAATGAAAGGTGGAGTTTTGGTGGCCTACAAAATTCTATTATTCAGTTGCTGATAAAGCAGTTTAGTTCATAACCAGCATCCAAATCCTGGCTCCAGCTAGCCAGGCACAAACTGTGCTCCATGGGAAATACCATGACGTGCCAGCACTTCTGCGAAATTAAGACAGGTAAGACGTCCTGCCAAGCTAACGAGATTGCTGGCATATGAGGAACCAACTGCTACATGCCCACCTGCCAGGCTAGTCACATTCTCCTGGGCACTGAAAGCTCCAATTATCCCCTTTCCAAGGAAAAACGTAAAGCCTAATTCAGTGTTCCCCTTGCGTCGTCATTCACACCATTGCGTATTAATAGCCATCTAGAGTCTTTACTGGGATTTGCCATTCTCCAAGACATAATTAGGAGTTTACCTGTTGCCATAGTCAATCTTTGCAGTGACTTTTTTCTTTAGCTCAGCTAGCTCATCTTTGGGAAGGGTCCCGGACAGGATCTGTGACCGCCATTCTATCAGGCTGTACGTCAGCTGTTGGACGTGCCGGAACTGTGTCGTCTTGTTATCCTACAGGAAAAAAGGGACAACTGTAAGTTAATGACAGCCTGAAAACGATGAGCTTAGGAAGTTTTCTGAAATGTACTCAATTGAATCTACCATACAAGTTGTACTTAACTAAAAATATCTGAGAAACTGGCAACATGTGACACTGCAAGATTAGACCAATGGCACAAATGCTCCAGCGCTTTGCACTGCCAAGGTTTAAGTGTCTCAAGATTCGAGGTCTTCACCATTTCCTCAGGACGTTATTTCAGAAAAACCTCATGGACAAAAAAATACACTTCTGGTGTTTTCCAGCACTTAAAACCACTATGATGGGTGCTTTTTATACACAGGACAGAGAGGTGATGTTAAATGATCGCAACTGTGTTCCAGCAGATCGAGACAGGAAGGCCAGCTTAATATACAGAAAGGCTCTTTCTCCCCACCTCTACCACTCAGAATGTGTGACACTGGACAAGTTTCCCATTTGTTTTGCCTATTTAGATTGTAAGATTATGAGGCAAACACCTTATTTGCTTTTAAAAACCTAAAGGTGATAACGAAACATAAATAATAATGACAGATGACCAACACTGAAGCCCACAGTTTCTTTTTTTTCTCATGTCAGTTCCTTCTATAGCTTCCACCAGCTTAAAGAAACTCTTCAGCCTCTTTGTTACGTATAAAAAAAGGCCTCTTGTCACCAGAATACGACACTAACAACATGAACAACACGGTTAATGGGAATGTCTGGCCTCACTGCTATTTACAGCGTTAGCAACTACGTTTTAAAGCCAGAACACTAAGCAAATTGAATCCATAGGCTCATTTTCATGGCTGCCTGCTCTCTCATCCTGTCCCACCATACACTCAAAATCCATTACATTAAAAAAAACCACTAGCAACAAAATGCAGCAATATCTGGCATACATTGCATCCCTGCCAGTACGCATATTATGTTTCAAGGTTCAAATTCTACCCACTGGTAACCACGGATTGTTATGTCCATGTGTGACCTCCAGACAAGAGTTTCACGAAAATCAGAGTAGCTCTGTGGAAACACCATAATCTCGCTGGCTGGTGTCAGCAAATAAGGCTGCAGATTATCTGCTCTTCAGAGCACTTATATTTGTACAGAACTTAAGGCAACGCAGTCCTGACTCATCCCATGCTTTTAAGCACTACCCCAGCAGTAGTTGCTCTGACCCTACCGTGCCAAAGGCTGTCCAAAAATGCAATAAAGATATCATGTCTGGATTCCCAGACATCACCTCCCCAGTCTACCCAGGTACTCGCTCAGGTTTGCTGCAGTCATTGCATTTTCATCTTCTGCTACGAATGCAGCAGCTGTAATTATAAAGCACTGACTGAACAGGACATCAAAACCTGCTTTGTGAAGAGTTTTCTCCTACCATTTCTACTGTTATCATCTTTAATTAATGAAAATACTTTTCATACTATTTACTGGTCCCACCCTAATAAAATTAGTCACACACCTATACACCCCTTTCCTATAGTTTCAGCTCCAAGGCTGACACTAATTAAAATGTGGATAGCTATGTGGTAACCTTCCATATTGGTAGCAATATGCACTTAGATAAGTAATTAAGCCTTTGAAAGTGTCAGCTATACCATTTGTACCAGTCCAAAGGGAACCCAGACCTCATCCTCTCTTTACCACCATATAGTGAGCCAGTTACTGGGATGGTTTTGACTTGCACCGAGTGTCAAGTGCAGCTCATTTTCACAAGGAAGTGCCACAAATCAAACTAACATTTAATTTACATTAAACTTTAATCTACTGGGACAAAGTTTATGGTTATGCAGCTCCAAAATGACCGTCAAGAGGTTTTTGACTACATCTCATCCAACAGCTACTGGGAATTGGCCAAGGGTATACTGGCACACTCAGGCAGCAGCTGACTCACATCAGTTCTCTCTACCAAAGCTGTTAATGTTTAACTATGAACCCCAACTGCTCCCACACAGCAGAAAGAGACACTAATTCCTATTATTTCCCAATTCTGGTCTCTGCAAAGAATGTGAGTGATATCAACTACTCATAATTCACCCCCTGAGAACACGAATCTCCAGGAGTTATAAATAGCCATCTTCCTTTTGATTTGGGCTGACAGAGGCTGGATGAGTCTTAGCTCTCATGGAGAAGATTAGAGACATATTCAGTAAACGAAGGAAAAAGCGTGTTCTTCACTTGCATGAAAATAATCTCAAAGAGAAGGCGACTTGTGTTAGCTCTCAGGGAAACAGAGCAGATCTCAGTTTGACAGTTAGCTGAGTTATCTCTACAACTGTTTGCATTAGCTAACTCGTATTAACTAAAGGAAGTTAAACACTCTCACCCATATTTTGCAGTGGAGATATACCCACTGGTGCAATGCTTTCTGAAAACCACAAAAATTAAAGAAGTTAAATGAAGTGTTATCAAAGGAAAAAAAAAAAGTCTCCTGTACTTCCTTTTTCTCCTTAAATAACTCCTTCCTCCTTTAGCTTTTTTTTTTTCTTTTTATACATACTGCAGGGGAAAATAAAATAAACTGAAATCCATTTCAAACCACAACATTTTCCAAGACTATTTTAAGACTTATATTGGTTAAGCACAGGAACATGAAAGATTTCTGCTCTTAAGACAAATGGATTCTGAGGCTAGGATCCTAAATTTATTCAGAAAAAAAGAAGCCGGGAACAAAACTCTCTTTTCATACAGTAATAACATCACATATGGCTTCTCATTAAATTAAGAGGGTGGAACAAATTCTTGTGGTTTCATAGTGCACAAACAAAACGTACTTGTGGCCTGGTGAAATTTTCAATAGGGAGATCTTGCTCTGGGTTATCTGAATGGTTAGAGTTAATTGAAATTAAAGTCTCATCTTAATTAAAGTCTCAGAGCACATACTATGCAGCTGAACTCGCTAGTAACCAAAGAAATATCAAGTTGAACTCTCTTTAATGTGCCTTAATAATCACCTTCAAAAGAAGGCAATTCATTGTGAACTCCAGTTGTGATTCTTCAACCAAGAATGCACCTGCCTCCGCAAACCACCAAATCCACGTATTACCTTGGCTTCTGACTTTTCTCAGGTGACTATCATATGGTCAGGCTACTGATTCAGTAGATCAGAGGTCTCTCCCTGGTCCTACTAAGAACTAAATGTATTATGTGATTTCTGCCAAGTCAAATCTTCCCCCAGCACACAGGGCCCTAATCCTCTTCCCATCCTTTGTCCATCTTGGCTGTTGGAGCTGTAGGCACTCCGTGGGGAGGACTAACCATTCTATTAAGTACCTACAACACTTTTAGAAAACCAGGGCTCCTGCTTGTTGAAGGCTCTGTTAGAACACCAGTATGCTTTCTGACACAACAGGTATCTCGCCCTCGTTCAGCACAGACGCACGACAGGCGAAAAGGAACCCTTATCTCACCAGTGAGCTGTGATGCACAGAGTTCCAACCAGCTGACACGATGCTGAGCATGACTCGTGCCAGTCAATGCCTCACCAGTGCTGTGTCATCACACAATTATTCCAGTACAGCACTAAACCACAGAGTCCTGCCTGTGATCACACACGCCATTCAGTGGGGAGCAGAACATTTTCAGCCTCTCATTTAATAAAGTACCAACCACTGAAGAGAACTCACCACATATAATTTGTGCCAAATAACTGCCCACTCCCTCAGGGTAGAAGTGAGTTCTTGTCCAAGGGGCAATTCACTTGGAATCACTGTTTCATGCTGTCTAGAAAAAAAAAAAAAAAAAGGAGAAGACACAAAAAAAGGTGTTACGCTCAAGATTGAATTTAGTAGTAAAACATGCTTTTTTGATAAATGTTTAAACAGAAATTTCAGAGGGTCAGATATTCACACAATTCACTCATGGTGCCAAGATTCTTAAATTGTTCAACTGGTTCTCCAACACACGTGCACATTCATTATCCATCTTTAATGCAAACGTGTTTCAAGTTTCTTTCAGTCTTTTTATTTTCAGCTGACCTATTCCAGAAACATAATGCTAACCAGAGAGAAATTCAGTTTGGAAGAATCACCACTTGCAATGGTAACTTGGCCACAGTTATTTAAAAAAAAAAACCACACACATACACACACAGAAGGAGAAAAAGAAGAACTTTTTTTCAAGTTGCTTCCTTTGCAACTGCTATTTTCCTCTCACTATAACGATCACCAAATTAGCTCTAAGAATCAAATGAGGAGTCATTTCCTTAACTGTTTTCCAAGACAGGAAGGAATCCACACTCCTGCTGGCTACTTGGCTGCGAGCAGGAGTGTGTTACGACTTGCAGGAGTCCCCAGAGGGGCCAAACGTAACTCGACAGACCTGCCTCGCTCCTAACTCCTCTCGCAGAGCTTTCTTATTTTTTTGCAAGTAGTATTCTCCTGCACCTATGCCTACAATTGTTTTGGCATCTACAATACTCTGAGAAAAAGAAAGTTATGCAGCTCCAGAAGTCTAGCACAGGCAGTATGCCCTGCTGCACACACAGGCAAGTAGCATTCATTACAACCACAGCTATCAAGTTTCCTCTTTTTTTTTTTTTTTTTTTTAAAAAAAAACCACAACAGTATTCCACTGGTTTTGCTACCAAAAGTACATCCCAAGAAGCTCCAACCTACCCCCGGTCCTTCACGATTGCCTCTTTTAAATGGATGTATGTTTCTGGGAAAATGCCCTAAAAATAAATACAAAAATAAAATAAATCAATCACAGCATAGGATATGACATGACAAAAATGCATTCAACATAAAGCAGAGGAGGAGGGTAAGAACATGATCAGCAGAACAGTAACTGCTTATCTATAACAGAGATGTGAGGTCCACCAGTCCCAGCATCACATGAAAAAAGACAGAAAGGAGCATCTCGAGCACCATCTTTGATATTTGCACCTCAGAGAAGTTAATTCCTTGTTCCACTGAAACAACATTCATCTTCCCGTATGACATGTTGTAAAATCTTGCAAACTATCAATCATATTCATCCCCTGTTGCTACAAAATATTCTTGGAACCATCTGTCAAGTTGCCCTGGACCTGTGGTTCTCTACAGAAGCTCACAACACATGACAGCATTTGTAGGAATCCACCAGTCTCAAGTTTCCATTATTTAAGAGAAACCCTCTAGGAGTGCTGCAATTCTTTTCTATTTTCTTTTATTCCCCTTTATGCCTAAAAAACAGAGACTGTGAAGGCTGTTACCACATGAGAGGTGCCAGGATTCCCATGGGAAACCAGATTTCCCTGTAGTTTTCAGACTGGTTTCACAAACCTCAAGAATTTTGGCTGAGACTCATGCATGCATAATTTTTTGAACATTTCCTACGAAAAATCAAAACTCTACTCTCATTATGACATATAACTAATACTGGACATGTACAGGTCCCAGACCATAATAATAAAGCAATAAGCTGGCGTATGCAGATATGCATCAGTCAATACTACCAGTTCCAACTAGAATGCACACGCTCACAATGGAGGAGTACCCAGTTAAAGGTTTGGAAACGTTCAGCTCAAGGGCATTTATTTCTATCGCTAAGGAAAAGGACGCACCATCAGGGGCCCTGCCCAGAATTAAGACCAGAAACACATCAGAAGCACAGCTGATTACAGCACTGGATGGGGTCTGGCAAGGTGTGGAATAAAAATCAGCTCCTGGAAAGTGAGGTCATACCTTCTTAGATTTATTTCGGAGCGTGTATCCTCGGTACCAGCCTGCCAAAGGGAAACAAAATTATTATTTTTTTGAATACACATTGTCATTCTCACCATGGTTCTACAATGTAAATCGATTGACCTTGCTCATTTGAGATCTACCCTTGTGAAGATTCAGGTTGGATGTTAGGAAGTATTTCTTCTCTGAAAGGGTTGTCAGCCACTGGAATAGGCTGCCCAGGGAGGTGGTTGAGTCCCCATCCCTGGATGTGTTTAAGAATAGGCTGGATGATCTACTTAGGGATATGGTTTAATGGGGATTAGGGATGGTTGGACTCGATGATCTCTAAGGTCTTTTCCAACCTAGAAATCTATGAATTTATGAATCTATGAAGACACCTCTGCTCGCTGCAGGCTTGGTTCCCAAGAGTAGGGCAGAGGGGTGTCCCTCCCTACCATGAACGGACACTTGCACTTCCAGTCTAAATATCCATTTGGGTCGTACTGATGTGGCTCTATGGAAAAGCAGGTTGCTCCACACTATACATTTTGAAAGTGACAATCCTTGTGCCAAAAATCCTACGAATTTCTATGCACAGCACAGAACTACTGCTGTGATGCTCTGACAGAGGAGGCAACCACACACAGACATGCACGCAGAACCACCAGCCCAAGGTCACACAGCAGAGAGAAACACACTCAAGCGTCCCAACTCCAATTCCATTCCACTCCTTCAAAATTTTCTTTTCTATGAAGTGAGTTTTCATCCCAATAATCCCATTGATTGTGCTTGAGTTCCACAAGCATGTAGGTTCTTCATTTTCTTCTGTGACTCAGCTGACAGCCTTCCTCCAAAGGAAGGCGGAAAGAGAATGTTTTATTAGACGAAGCAAAAAAAAATCCCAACCTCAATCTTGCCCTGGTACAGATATTGTTTCTCAATATTATCTTGACAAGATCTAGTGAAGTATGAGATGTAAAGCAATAACTGTGATCCCCAAGACTCAGCAGCATATGTCACTTTTAGATGTCTCTTTCTTCTCTCTTCAGCACCTGGGGTTTGACCAGTGGTTTGATTTCAAGGTCAGTGAAGTGCAAGTGCATGAAAAAACTGCTGTATTTCTTATGTCCTGCAGCAAGCCTTGCTCCCTGAGCAGGCAGGAGAGCAGCACGGCCATGGGCCAGTTCTCCCACTCTCCTCCACCACCTCCAAACTGTGTGAAACAAAGGGTTTTTTTCTCTCCACCCTCACTTTCGTCATCTGTCTTGGCTATGTAGGAGCTGCACACCATCAAGCACTCTGTCCACTGGGTACCTGTTCCTTCCCACAAGCAACAATTTCCATCACCTTCAGTCCTCCTGAAGTTACTGTACTGGAAATAAAACATTTCAGAAGAAGAATCTGCTCCGTTGTAAATAGTGGTGTGCAGACATGATGTCCTTTGTATTGTTCTGGGATAGGACAAACTTGCAGACTTGCACTTTCTCACGGACTCTTGGCCATGAAAAACATTCCAAACGTCAAGACTCTCTGCGACCCCAACTCTCAGTTGACCATGCCCCTGGAGCACTGGTTTTTCACTCTTCTCTTAAGGTTCTCCTTGTGTTGGAACTGAAAACACTGACCCTGTATCTCGGCGGACACGAAGGGTATAGATTATGGTCTATAAGGCATGAATGACGTTCAGAGCTATCAAGACAGACATCACTGATCCAAGACGATTATGTTCAGCTGACTGGCAGACGGAGCAGCATCAGGAAGGCAAAGGGATTTAAAGGAATAATCAGGCAAAGAAGAGAGGAGAGGAGGGTGGTGGGTTTTTTTCCTTTTTGGTTTCCCCCCATATACTCAGCAAAAAAGGCTCCATGAGGAACCATGAGACCCCTCAACCATAAATTAGAGCTTAGGATGTTTTTTTTTGTTTGGTGGTGGTTTTTTTTGGGGGGGGAGAGGTTGTGTTTGGTCCTTTTTTTTTTTTAAATAAGCACAGTTCTGGCACCTTTCTCTAGCAATGAGAAGGTGAATCAGCTTGACCACATAATCCCCAATATTCCAGTAGTAAGTTAGGAGGAAAGGAGAAATTCCATTCCTTCCACAGGATGAAGATAAGATTATACATTGATGATAGACCGATGGATAAGGTACTGGATTAGGGATGAGAAGATTTAGGTTCTATTTTTATCCAAGTTGTAATTAATTGAATAGTCAAGTCAAAGTTATTTTGAGTGTAATAAAAAGCTCTCCGAATTTAACAAGAATATTTTCCCAGTGATTTTAACTCCATTTGACACAGTCTCTCAGCCCTTCTATACCACAGCTTCCTCACGTTTAAAATGGCCTCTTGGCATTAACCGCATTCCTGTAAAATATTTTGCAATCATTGCATAAAAGCATGTTGTATATTATTATGCAAAACTATTTGAGCAAGCACCTCACGCAATTTTTTTCAGAATTCTGCTCCAATTTTCACTAATCTTATTCATCACTTTAAAAAGAACAAAAGCTTTTGGCAGTGGTCGATTGATTACTTGATTTCTTCTTGAAAGGAACAAAAATCTGCCTAAAGCTTTGGAGGAATGATAGACTACTCAAGTGTTTCTCTTGAGTATTTTCTTCAAGCAGAGATCTGCTAAACAGAGAAAGGCTTTTCAGTTGAAGATGACATGGCAGATTTCACTTTTTTACTCTTTCAAACTGAAGTCTGATTAAGAACACAGGGATAGTGGACTGAGTCTTGCAAAGAAATGTCAAAGTTTTTTGGTTTGTGGTTTTTTTTTAATGGAACACAGGTCCTCAATCTTACCTTTCATTAAATGGATTTTACGCCATATGTAAAGGATCAGAAAAATCTAAGAAAAATTATTCAAATTACAATAGTTTAGATGACAAGAAGTTGCACACAGTGATGCAATCCCAGGGCACGTGCCTAACTGCAAGGTCTTTGCTCCTCTGGCACTGGAGCAGACTGTGTCTCGGTACCACAAGGCACACCGCTGCACTGGAGTGCAATAAAACAAGGATTGCTGCTTCTATCTACAGTGGCCAGAGGAAAGAGAAAAGACTGGAACTCGGAACAAATTCCATGCAAACTTATTTGCATCAGGAGAAGGAAGTGGCTGGAATCACAGTATGTGGACACACATTCCTTCTATCCACAATTTGGCTATTTCCCACAGCTTACATGGAATAACAATATATTCTGCAGATGAGAAAAGATTCCCCTAAGCAGAAGCGTATCGTCCCCAGCTCACCACTCAAGGACAGACTCCCAGAGCATATGTAAATCCTGCACTGAAGCAGTCTTGGATGCAGCAAGATTCCCTTTTTTCTTGGATTTTGCAGCACGTGCCCAGTCTTGACAATATTTGGCAAAGAGCAGGATAAGCACACGCTGCTTATCTTATTAAGTGGAAAAAGTAATTTTGTACAGAGACCTCATGCCCTTCTGCAACCGGAGAGCCAACGAGAAAGGAGGAAAAGAAACACCTTGCTCTGCAGGTTATCTGCAGATTACAGGGGCGTACCATGACCAAGGCACCCAAAACTAACAAAAGCATGCTGTGCAGAGGGTGTTTGTGCATTTGTTTTAAACAGAAGGCAAGTCTAAGAAAAATGGTATCCTCCAGATCTTCATGTGTAATAAATACACTCTGCTGGTTCAAAGCATGCTTGAAGTACAACTAAAACATTTCAGAAGTTATTTAAAATCAAAATAAAACACCAAACATGCAAATTTAGACCCTATCTACAGCACAAACCCCACTTACAACTGCGCCTAATGGCAAATTGACCAAGATGCAGTATGCCACAACCTGCATTCTCCTGGTTCGAAAGAAACGCTGCACAGTGTAGACTATGGATTTATTCAACCTAATAGCAAAGGGCTCTCAAGTTGTCCCTACATGGATCTGAGCTGCATTAGACACCAGCACGCTATAGCTTGCACTAGAAACATTTGAAACCTTCAGTTCAAACTGCTCAGTCTGGGGTTTCAGCTCTGATAACCCTCACTTCTACATTCCATACGTTGTCCAAGCTGAAGATACCATTTACAGAGATGATCATCCACCCTTGAACAAATCCTTGACATCAACAAGCTGCAGGCCAACAGTATGAACAGACAATGTACCACGTTTGCACTCCAGTATCTTCTCCCGTGCCCTCACAATCCAAGCCTAACTGTGTGGTTGTAACGGGGACTTGCAAAGCATTGGGCAAAGCATCTGTTTAGAGCAGGGGAAAGGAAAGCCTCACCAGCAGTAGTGCAATGCCAGAGCCTCACCCCAAATTTGACCAACTTTCCAAGGACTTCCAGCCTTTGCAACAGGCCTCTAAGTCCTGATAGCATGTGCTAACATAAATGAGCAGAAATTCTGCAATTTCAAGGTGCTCTTTCTTATTGTGAGGCCATCAGGTGGTACAAGGGCAGCACCTGACTGCAGACACTCCACCTCAAGAGTCCATGCCACACTCCCACCTCGGCCAGGGCAGCACACCATGAGAAGTTTGCGGAGCACAGAGGTCTGCACCGAACCGCATCCCTACCTTCTGCCTTGCACTTGAATTCGAGTTCTCGCTTTTCGCTTCTCACACACCTCCTCCAGTGTCCCAGCTGTATCAGTGTTATGTCTCAAAGCTACTCAGCCAGCTGAGAGCCAGATAACATTTATTGTTAACACCAAACCCAGCGCAAGCTTCAGCCTTGCTGCCTTGGAACAACCTGTGCACTCCAACTCCTGCAGACAGAGCAGAGCCAGCCAGAACCCCCCGAGAGAATACAAAGAGGTCTCAAGTGAAGGCTGTTTGATACACAGAGAGCCTTTGCTGCAAATGGAGGGGAAACAAACACCTGCTGACTTCAGCCAGGAGGAAAAAGGAAGCGTGTTCCAGATGACTGACAGAGCCCAAACGAACCGTGGTGCAACAGCCTTGAGAACCTTCTGGTAACTCACAAAAGATGCTCCTGTGCATCCTGAGGTAGGGAACAAAGGCAACGAGCAAGATTTTCCGAACGGCTACACCAGCACATGAGAACCTCTGGACACCCCTGAAAATCATAGAATCACAGAATGGTTAGGGTTGGAAGGGACCTTAAAGATCATCTAGTTCCGACCCCCCTGCCATGGGCAGGGAAACCCTCCACTACACCAGGTTGCTCAAAGCCCCATCCAACCTGGCCTTGAACACTTCCAGGGACGGGACATCCACAATTTCTCTGGGCAACCTGTGCCAGTGCCTCACCACTCTCAGAGGTGGTGAGGCAAATCTCCCCCTTAATTCCCTAAAGCACGTCACCGATAGCCTAAGGAACGCCCTCAGCCAGGAGCTGCAGGGATAACTTACACCCACTAAAAGAAGGGCTTCATGAGGCATCTCTAAGCCTTTCTTCTTGCAAAGCCAACGCCCTGGTTAAATGGAACCTTTTTCTAAATTGAGACTTGTGTATCCAGATAAGAAGGGCGATTAGTGAAACAAAACCCCCACTTTTATCAGGGGAGAGTTGTATTTGTCAGTATACATCATTAGCATGAGAAGAAACAGAAAAGGCTTCTAGTGAGAACACTAATTCTCAAAAATACAATGCACAGAGGCTTGGAAACAAAGCTGAAAGCTAATGTCCCAAAAGAAAGAAAAATTATCTAAATACAGTAAGACATGAGAATTTCCTCCAAGGAAACAGAATATCAGAATTTGGAGTTTTTAAGATGAACTTATGAGAAATAAGACCAGACCCACAGGAGTTACCATCTCAGAGACAATCTGCATCTCTTCCTTTAGATTCACAAAGGTCTGGCCTGTATTTTTAGCTGGTCTTTCCAGGAAAGGTGTTTAGTTGTACTGCAGCAATTCCCAGGTGCCTCAGTCACAAACTAGGATGCCACAGTGATGGCTCAGTGTATGAAAACAATCAAAACATATTCACTTTCCCAAACCATTTACAATCAATCCTCTCAGGCTGAAGTTCCAAACTGGGACATTTTAGGCAAAAAAGGGATGCCATATGGGTATTCATTTCCTATTCTTGACTGTCTCTGTTAAACAGCTGATTATAGACCAAGTTTTAGGACTAAACAATGATGCTGCTTTAAAAGAAGAGAAAGAAATACCCCAACATTTTGGGAAGTACAAGATGCATCCTCTTCATGAGGGAAATTTTCACCCCTGACACTCTCTCTTCCTTGTGTCTTTTTGCAAAAGCAGTTCATAAGTTAGTACTATTAGATACAGATTTTTTTTCCCCATTTCTCCCTCTCTCTCCCCCTGCCAAGCACACTCACCACCATCACACACATCAGTGTGAAAACGCACATCAGCAACATAATCTGCTTTGACATGTAGGAACTGGCTGGCTGTTTCCAGTGTCAAGGTCAAAGAGAAGCGGAAAGAGAACAATTGGCTGAGAACAAATTGCTAAACAAGCAGCTTGCCATTCCCAGCAGGGATACTACAGAGTACTCCGGGTCTTTTTCAAGCTGATGTTGCTTGGGAAAACGATTGAATTTGTATTTTGGAAAGAGTACTTAGAGTTTGGAAAGCCTTCAAATGAAGTGGTGACCAGTACATTCTTTAAAATAATTACATGGCTACATTCCATTCTTGGTATCGAAACCTTAATTAAACAGTCTAGTTTAAAAAGCAGATATGAAACACACAAATGTAATTTTCATGTTGTTTAAAATATGAATTTTGTTTTCCTTTCTGCAAGATGTTTTACATTAAGGTACTTATGAAAAACTTTATCCAGTAAAGTACTGGGAGAAACACCCTAAAAAGGGAACAGAAGCTTTGTAACTGGAGTTTTTTTAAAACATACAATGCCAGTTTGAGATATTACAGCTTAAACCAACACTAGTTTTGAAACAATTAGACCTGTCCTTTCCTTTTCTTTCATCCACTACCTCTGTTGTCTCAGATCAAAGAACTAATTCAGGTTAAAAGCTACTTTTCAAAAATTATTATTATTTTTCAGCTGGATCAGTTCATCACACGACTGCACAAGCACTTGGCTTGGCACAAGGAGGAGTCAAGGTAGACAGGTGGGGTGTGAAAATAGAAATGAAGAAAGAGCCAGAAGTGTTTTTCTCTCTTGCAGTGCTGCCTTGAGATGCCAGTGATGTCTCACCTTGACAAACCTCTTCTAGGAACAGCATAGATACAATCGCCACCTCTGTATTTTATTTATTTTTAATACCATTTTTGAAGTCAAGTGCATACAACAAACACTACGCAGCAAGCTTTGTGCTTCTGGGCGTATCGGAAGCTTTCTGAAAATTTAGATCTGAAATTTGTATTATTTTTAAAAAATCTTGATTTGTTGTATTTACTTTCAAAACCACTGCAACATACTTGAAAGTAATCTGCAACCTACCTTCATACATCTCCAAAATGTGAACAGTATCACCAACTTGCAAGGACAGCTCCACATCTTGGACAGCATCGTAATTGTAGATGGCTAGGAAGGGGAAGAAGGAAGAGAGAGAGATGAAAAATACAATCATAAAATCAGCAAGGTAATCAGATTTTGAAAACTGGTATCACGGTACCTGTCAAAGGCAGAATATGATTTTGAAAAAAGCACGATAAAGTTACTAATCTATCCTGTGTATATAATACACCGGAAGAGTATGCAGCATATCTATTTCCAGAATCTACCATAATTTCCTGCAAAGATAAGAAATATTATTCTTAACAGCCAACAAAGTTTGTCTTTTAACAACACAGATCTGTGACACCATATGAAGAAGCTGCATCTTCCCACTTTACTGACAACCCGCCCAGCAAAGGTCACTATTACCTCAGGCAGAGATTATGGATCAATTAGGTAATTGTCATTTTTTATTAGTGTTTCACAGGACTAACTGCAATGTAGCACTCACAAGCACCGGCAGAACAACATCAATTGGATGTCATAAGAAAAAACCACCACTATTCAATACTAAATGCTTCAGACTATCTGCTACAAAAGGCTCTTCCCAGACAAGAACCAATTTTAGCATGAAAACTTGAGATTCTCTGCAAATTAATCCCCACCAAAGACAAAGCCAATCAGAATGCTTATCGGATTTCCAGTGGGAAGAGGATTAAGTCCTGAAGCTCACGCTTCTAAACTGCCTTTTCTCTGGAACTTTCTTGAGATGCACAGTTTCACTGGGAAAGCAGATCCCTCCTTAGAGATGCTGGAGGCTTGTCAAGATAATAAAGTTTAATTTGACTTTGCTTTCAAACCAATGCAAGTAAAAAGACATAAAGCAGCCAAGAAAATGCTCTGCTACGGTTCAGTGGATTGATCGGCGAAGTCAGAACAGACCACTCCTCCATCAAATTGAGATTATGTTATTTATTTATTAAAAACACTGGTTTAAGCACAGACCACATCTTAAACGCAGCACTGCAATCTTCTCACACACATAAGTGTCATATTTAAGTCTCCAAATCTGTTCTCCAAGCAAACGTATTAGTGAAGTAAGCACAATATTTATTTTTAAGAAGGCAAATAAATCACACAAATGTTTTCAGGGGGCTTTGGGAAAATTCTTCAGACTTCAGAGGGTGTGTGTTTGAAGAACTCTCTCTGAAAACAAAACAAATGAAAAAAATTGAGGAAATTCTCATCAAATGCCTAGCATTTCCGTCAAGATGAGGCGTATTGTCTCCTGGCGAGGATCCAGCATAAACGCAGGACTTTGGCTTACCACACTGGAAATTCTCTCACATATGCTAGCTTTCTTTAAAATATTGTAACTATAAATAATCCAACAGAAATAGGTGGGCAATGTGAATTTCCTGCAATAACTGAAATCTTTTTCTCACTTATTTCCTTATGCTGCAGGGGCAGTGTTTGTTCACAGTGGCCCCAATTCATGCCTACCGTACCTTCAGCCTGCAGAGATACATACGGAGCGTGCATGGAATCCATGACATTGTTTTCCAGAGGGTTACAGGAATGTTACTGGAGTTTTGCTCCTAAGGCATTAGCTGCCTCGATGTCCTGTTTCCTCCCCCTCCTCGCGACGGTGTTGTAAGCCAAGATATTCAAAATTGATTGGTGATCTGGATATTCAGTTTAGACACCTTAAAGGCTCCAGAATAGACCCAAAAGTTAAAATCCCATCAACATTTTTGGAGAAAAATTCAGGTAATGTTTATGGCCAAACATGAACATACACAGGAGTGGATCAGAGTAATCCATTAAGAGCTACCGTGTATTGGCAGACACTGAGATCACAAACTGACAGAAGAATTGGTTAATTTTGTCTTTGATTCAGTTAAAAAGAAACCGTTTTGCCAGATACAGAAAATAATTCTGCAAGGGTCTGCAGCGGTCAGCATAAAAGTGCAGCACCTGCCTCCAAGGAAAGTGAGCTCCCCGCGGCCGTGCCTTCTGCTGCAGCAAACCTGCCAAAGCCCTAATGCTGAGCAGGGATGCTGCAAGCCATGGCTGGGATGGGACGTCTCCAAACCTCCCCAAGGTGCAGCAGGAAGCGGTGTGGATGGATAAAACAATCCAGGCTTCCTCTGGAGTCACTGCTGAACTGTTGGCCTGTAACGTGCTACAGGGACACTGTGCTGCAGAGGTGGTGTCACTCCTCCGGTGAAGTCCAGGCATGGAGCAGCCTATGGACATCAATAATCCTATAGCACTGTCGACAGACTTAGAAGATTTAAAGCAGAGCGTCTTAGTCAATTTCTAACTTGGCTGATTACATTCTGTCTACTGAAGTTTCCTCTTGTGGTTACAGCTGGACTGCCTCATTTTCTGCCTTTAAATGCTGTTTGGGATTCGTGCTCTCCATGAGAAATAGCTGCTGTTTAGAAATTCATGTGTGCTTATACGTATAGAGATTCCGACGTACCATTTCTAGATGCCTCGGGTTTCTTTGAGACAAACAGACATTATACAAATACCAGTCTGAATTTTTCCATAAATTGCTGCTTTAGCTTCAGACAAAAGCAGTGTGAGCAGCGCCAAGGCTCTAACAGAAAGGTGGGCGGGCATCAGACAAGCCTTTCTTTTGAGAACACAGACAGTTAATTCAAAACTAAAGAGCACACCAGCCACAGGAGGAGGGAGAACGAAACACGGCAGTTCCCTTCCCCTCGAAGCTCACACCCGTCACAAGGCAGACCCAAACGTCGCAGTTCCCTTCCCTCCTGTCCCTGCTCCACCAGAAAGGTTTCAGATCCCGATCTGCAGCACTTAGAAGCTGAAGGAACACGCTTCTGCCACTTGCACATCAAAAAAAGACAAGACTTGCAGTATCTTGCTTTGCTAGATTGAAATGAGCAAGAACAGAGGGCCACTGTCTAAAAAAATCTCCTACCCAATGGTTATGCACGAGGTTATAAAAGACAAATTGCTGGCATATTTTCCCTGGGAGCTTTACTGTTTGCAACTGATGCTTCCTGCTGCTCGAAGTCAGTCCTGGCCGAAACAGTCCGTCTGCAGTTCTTGGAAGGGCTTAGCCTCTTTCGCATCGTGTGTATTTAATCTGACCTCTTTCAGACTTAAAAGAGAAAGGAAGCTGCACATAACAAACATGGTCATGGCATGAAAAAATAAAAATCCTTCATACAAAATCCTGACAGTGCAGCTAGAAAGGAAGAAAAAAAACCTGCAGAGACTTTTGTCCCCAAATTTGCAGGAATATCTGAAGTTAAGTCTCTTCCCTTCAAGTTAAACTTCAGTTGAGATTTTGTCCTTGAAGTTCACTTTGGAACAGTGATTCTGTTCCTTTTATTATCCTGAATAACAAGCAGCACTAAAGTCCCACAAATTTAATTTAAACAAAGAGGATGAGATGGAAAACATGATCTGTAGGAAAGAGATACCGGGTTTGTTTCAGTGATCACATTATTTGAGTGTAACTACTGGCAATATATATATTGTATTATTTAATTTACAGGAAGGCAGTCCCTCAGTTTGATTAGCAGAAAGCAAGTTTAAGAAATGTTTTTTGGCTTTTTTTTTTTTCAACGAGGCATCCAGACTGCAGAATTCATTAGGAGGGAAGGTCAGAGGAGTCACCATCGGGGCTGGTTTGAAAAGGGCAACAGATAACTTTATGACCGATGACAGCAGCCAGAATAACGCAGGTGAAGATAAGGAGAAGCAATTTTCACGCTTCAGGGCAGAGGTGATTCCTCAGAACGGATCCAGCAGGAACTCTAAAGGCATTGCACAACTGGGCGTGCACGCTGGAAGCCGGGGAATACGCTGTTCTGTTCGGAAGCATCACGCAACAGCCATCACCAGAAGCAAAGACCACACAAAGGGCAATGGGAACCTGAGACAGCCGGGGCTTTCCGGGGAGCCGGGGCCGAGTAAGAGCCAATGGTGAGCCACAAGTTTCTGAGAAGGTACCCAGTTCAACGTGGGCTGGCACATGGCAGGATTATGATGGGAAGAACAGGTTCAGTTACGTCGCTCCCTCCAGTTGCACGAAGGCACAGGAGTAACCAGAGCACACGTTCCTGACCCGTGAAACACCAGACTGGCACTTAGAAGAAGTAAGAAGCCTCAATGTCACGCATGGGGCAGAAAACGAGAAGCACTACAACTATACTACTGAAAAAACCCCAAAACACACTTTGAAAACCCACAAAGCCTCACTTTGTTCAAGAGACCTGGGAATGGCCTTAATTTGCAAGAGGTCTGTCAGCAGCTCACCGAGCCTGACCTCGCTTTTAGTGAAACCAGTGGGAGTTCTGGCATGTGTTTCCATGAAAGCAGCGTTGGGCTTCTTTCTGCAGTGCCCACCACCCACATCCGTTGGGAAGGAAGGTGACGGTGCAGCCAGCTCCGATGCCACACACACATCTGGGCACACTTTAAGGAGCCCGGTCACATCTGGACACACGATCTCCTGCACTAATGCGGTGTCTTTCACACAGTGTCACCAGCACGTGAGAAAGGAAGCAGTTGTTCTCTTTTGCATGCAGAGAAACTGAGGACAGAAAAATCAAAGGTCACAGCACATTCAAAGACGAAACCCAAATATTAATTTCTAGACCTATTTTAACCACAAGACTGCAACTCATTTTCCAGACTGTTCTAAAAGTGAAGCTCAGCTAAAACGTCTGAAACTAAAGTGAACAAGGCAGAAACTGTCACATACTATTTTGTGTGTAATTCAAAGCAGAATGGAATGGAATCCTTTCCTTAATAACTTGTTTAAATGCATTTGAAATGTGGATTATTGGCCTGAAAAACACAGCCACTGCAAGATCCATTATCTCTGACTTGGCTCAAAATAACCACCCCTCCACCCATTCCAAAGACACGATAACTGCATCCAAACACCATGTCCCACTTCTCTGAAGCCTGCCCTCCCCACTATCCGATAGGAGAAGGCTGTGCCTTACTTCCTCGGAACAAAGAATCACATTCAGTGCTGCTGCAACAGCCAGGCTTCGTCTCATTACAGCGTTCAACTGAAGAGTCAAAAACTATTG